ACCTCACCTCGATTTGTGTTCACAGTCCGGATGCGTAACAGGAAAGCCATTATATGAAAAACTGTGGAAAATGATGAATTTTGCCTTTAAAATGAATTTAAGTTGACTTCGGTAAACATTTTGAGAAACCGGACCCGGATCCTTGTTCCGACGATCCCAGGAGGTCCGTAAGAAAACATAGGACTTGGGCGTATGCCCGGAATCGGATTCCGAGGTTTCAAAGCCCGAGAAATAAATTTTTAAAGAAAATTGTTTTCTGAAAAATATATAAGTTTTTGAAAATGAAATGAGTTTGAAATTTAATGGTATCGGGCCCGTATTTTGGTTCCGGAGCCCGGTACAGGTCTTATATGTGATTTGAGTCGAGTCTGTGAAGTTTGGTAAGAAACGGACTTGAAATGACGTGAATTGGACCTTATTTGAGAAAATTAGAAAATTTGATGTTCTTAAGTGATTTCATGATTTTGATGCTAAATCATAGTTGTAGATGTTATTTTGGTGATTTGAATGCACGAACGGGTCCGTATGATATTTTTGGGTTAGTGTGCATGTTTGGTTTGGAGCCCCGAGGGCTCGGGTGAGTTTTGGATAGGCCACAGAGTGAAATTGGACTTGGGAAAATTGCTGGTGTGTTGCAGGTGTGTAGCAGGCCTCTGATCTCGCATTTGCGAGATCAGGCATCGTATTTGCGATGCAAGCAGGGTTCGCAAATGCGAGAAATACGTCGCAAATGCAAAGAACCCCGGGCCAGCCTTATCTCGCATTTGCAAGATACACTTCGCAAATGCGAAGTTTTCAGTTTATGCCTGAAGTCGCAAATGCGACCCAAGTATCGCAAATGCGACAGGCCTATCGCAAATGCGAAGAGGACCGGAAAATTGACTTGGTCGCAAATGCAATATTTTGTTCGCAAATGCAAAAGTCTCAGAATCCTAAAGGGTTCGCAATTGCCAACCCTGGTCGCAATTGCGACATCAGAGACCTGTAAATCATAACTTAGACGAATTTCAACCATTTTTTTCACACTCTTTCAAAACCAAAACACTCTAGGGCAATTTTTCAAAGGCAATTTCTTCTCCAAATTGATTGTAAGTTATTTCTAACTCGCTTTTTTTAATCTCTAACATCTTTTCACATGATCTCAACTCAAAATCAAAGGTTTTCATGGGGAAAATTGGGTGTTTTGGGTAGAACCTAGTTTTTCCAAATTTTGGGGATTTGGACCTCGATTTGAGGTCCGATTTCAAAACAAATTGTATATTTGAGTTCGTGGGTGAATGGGTAATCGAGTTTTGGTTCGAACCTCGGGTTTTGACCATGTGGGCCCGGGGTCGATTTTTGACTTTTTGGGAAAAACTTTAGAAAACTTATTTTCATGCATTAGAATTGATTCATTTAGCATTTATTGATATAATTAAGTAACTTGTGGCTGGATACAAGCGAATTGGTGGTGGAATCAAGAGGTAAAGCGATAGTTGAGGCTTGAACTGTGTTCGAGGCATCGAGGTAAGTGTTTGGTCTAACCTTAGCTTGAGGGATTAGGAGTTGTGTCTTATTTTCTATGTGATATTTGTTGAGTACGACGTATAGGCATGATGACGAGTATCTATACGTTGGTGTCAAGCATGCCCGTGAGTCTTGTATTATTATTAAAATGACTCTGTTTGTATTGTTCATGCATTTATGTGATGCTTTCTATTGTTGGGCAAAGTTTGTGGAATAATGGTGATATTTGAACATTTAGGAGCGTTGACTCAAGTTGTGAGGTGAATTGTGGAAGAATAATTGGTAATTGAACCTTATAGAGCGTTGGCTCAAATTGTGAATCGAGTTGTGAAGTAAATGAGAAAAAGAAAAGAGGGTTATGGTATTGTTCCTTGCCGGGACGTTGTTGTTTTTAAATATTGTTCCCTTGCCAAGATGTTGTTGTCTTGATATTGTTCCTTTGCCGGGATTTTATTATGATTCATTTATTCCTTGCCCTTATTATTTGTGTTTGTTGTTTGGGTGAGGAAGAGTGTAAAGCACGAAGGGTGATGACGTGTATGATTTTTGTGAGGAAAAGTGTAAAGCACGAAGGGTGATGCCGTGCCGCATGATGTACCATTCCGTGCCGATTATATTGATTTTATGGTGAGGATGAGAGTAAAGCACGAAGGGTGATGTCGTGCAGTTTATATTGATTTTTATGGTGAGGATAAGAGTAAAAGCACGAAGGGTGATGCCGTGCACTTGTTTGATTTCTGATTCTTGTTGATAGTTGATTGTGGTGTTCCCTATATTTACCTGATGTCTTCCTGTTGCCACCTGATATTTCCCCGCAGCATGTTTCCCCCTCCCATCCTTGACTGTATATTTCTGCTTTTATTTTTTCGCTGTACATTATTTATCTGCACAGGTTTATTTGGCAGTCTGGTCCTAGCCTCGTCACTACTTCGCCGAGGTTAGGCTAGGCACTTACCAGCACATGGGGTCGGTTGTGCTGATACTACACTCTGCACTATTTTGTGCAAATCCCAGTGCTGTAGATTTCGGACCGCAGTGAGATTTCTGCTCCTTGTTCATCAGGCGACCCGAGGTAGTCCTGCAGGCGTCCGCAGGCCTTGGCGTCTCCCTCTATCTATTATTCCTGTTTCTTTTATGTAATCCCAGAGACAGTATTTTGTTATTTCTTCAGACCTTTATTTGTAGTACTCTTAGACAGTCTGTGAAGTTATGACACCAGTCTTGGGTAGATTGTCATGGATTGATATTGGTAGCACTATTACAACTTGAAATTTAGTCTTCCGCCTATTAAATTACGTTGTTCATTAACTGTTGGTTCTTAATTGTTAGCGGATTTAAAATGGAATCAAGGTAATTAAATTCAGTTGTTTGGCTTGCCTAGTTTTCACTAGTAGGCGCCATCACGACTCCCGAGGGTGGGAAATTCGGGTCGTGACAAATAATTGGCTCTTCCGGAACTCTCAATTAATTTGGTACTACCACATATTCATCAACATCCATATGGTGAATATCTCTTTCAAGGAGAAAGTTATACCATTATGGTCATGGTCAAAATTATATGCAAGATATATTTCTTGCATTATTGTTGTCCTTTAATAATCACATTACCAAAATATTTTGGTGTACAATAGGTACGTGCCCAATGACCATTCATGCCATAATAATGACATTGTTTTCTTATATCATCTCAAACCTCCTTTTAGAGGCGAGTGTGGTATATTCACTACCACTAGCACATTCATATTCTTCCAAGAATGAATATGTATTTATAAATCACATGTTGTCACATTCACATCCGGAATGGACCATAATCATCTATATGTGCTTTATAAAATCTCATGTCAAATCGATGACAAATATTACTTTTACAGAGTGAAGGATTATTTTGAGAATTCTTATTATTCTCATTATCACAATGATGACGACTATAATTTCGTCTATTGCCACGCCCACATCCATTGATACCTTCACGGTAATAATTTTATCTTCTTTCAGACTTATCACATATTGCTATCACATTCTCTTAAGGGAATGAGAATGAAGCAAAATCAATGGGATGGATTTTCACTTCTTGTGCTCATGATCATACATGACTTTGATCATGGCAAGACATAGAAATTTTATCACTTCGGGTGGTTATAATTTCTTACAAACTCCATTAGAGTTATAATCAAACTTTGTTGCCATTGCTTATAAAATCAAATTATAAAATGTTAAGAATTTAAAAGAGAAAAATATGGTAAAATACATACCTTAAATCCAGAATTTAATCATGAAGGAAGTTCATGGAACAATTGACAATTATTATGCTCAATCCCAAAGCTTCTACTCAATTGGTTAGAGTCTCGTGCTGATAATGTGTTCTGAAACAATAAAAGAAGAATATTGCAAAGAAAGAGAGAGAATTCTTATTGCTTTTGAGATGAATTACAATGGAATAGAACCCTCTATTTATAGGGGAAAAGTGACTTAGCCACCAAGTAACAAACCCTAGAATCTCTCTAGATATAGACATTCACCATAAATAAAATTCTATTTATAACAATAAGAGGGTTATCATTCCCATTTAAAAGATGGATGCGCTATTATTTTCCAATCCTAAAGGTAAATGGGGCAAAATAAAATTTTACCTCTTAGTGGCGTTTGGACATAAGAATTGTAAAATTCCAAAAAAAAAAAAAAAATTTAAGTGACGACGATATTTGAAAATTAGAGTTGTGTTTGGACGTGAATATAATTTTGGATTATTTTTGGAGTTCTGTGAGTGATCTGAGTGAAAATTTTGAAAAATAGCTTTTTGGAGTTTTTCAAAATTTCAAAAAATTCCAAAATACATCTTCAAGTGAAAATTGGAAATTTTATGGTCAAATACTGATTTCGAAAAAAGTAAAAATTTTTTGAAAAAAGGGAAAAAAATTTCTTATGTCCAAACGGGCTCTTAATATTTGTGTATGCTATATACTACATGACACAAGATTTTTAGCTATATAAGAAAATTATTCAACCAAATCACATGTAAGGTAATTACAAATAATTTCAATAAATAAATAATAATCGATAACTTAATAAGATGAATAAATCAGTTATTATAGTAAATTAATATATACTGATAATTGAAAAATTCTTATATTGTGCTAGTGTGTATAAATTAAATTCATTTTATTACTCCCTCCGGTCCAGAATAAGTGATTTTTTGGCTTTTTTTTGTGGTCCAAAATAAGTGATTTTTTCAGATTTCAAGAATGAATTAATTATTTTTTTCCTACATTGTCCTTGAAGTAAATGTTGTTGGAATATGTGTTAGGAGTGTTTATGTGAGATAGTAAAAGTTAATATGGTCAATTCCATTGCTAATTAATGCTAAAAGGTGGATTTCTTAATTTGTGTGAAAACATCCAAAAAATCACTTATTTTGGACGGGAGGGAGTAATGTATTGTCAGGTATTTTAGATCCTTGGTTGAACATTTTCATGAAACGACATCGTGGAACCTCTTGCACGCTTTCTGTGATCGCGCCAGACTGCAGTGAAACAGACTGTAGCTTCCTTCTAGTCCCTGCTACAGTCATCACCATCAACTTTTTGACGCGCACAATATTTATATATCTCTACTTGAGGTTTTCCTCGGAGAGAAAATGGAAGGAGTAGGGTCTAGACTCGGTCGGGCCTCGTCGAGGTACGGTTCAGCTCCAGTATTTAGTGGCCCAGTAAGAAAATGGAAGAAGCAGTGGGTCACTTCTCAGCCCAACAGCCGCCTTCGTGGCAACGGCAACGTTATTAACAACGTCGCCGGTCCCAAACTCATGCTCTGCCGTTGGACTCCGCTCTCTTCCTTTCATTCCGGCGACGAAGCTCCTAAACGGAAGTTCCGTTATGCACCAGTAAGAAAAAAACGATATTTCTTTTCTACTTTTAGGGTTTAACTATCATTTTACTTTCATTTATCTCTTTTATTAATTGAAATTTTTGGACTTTCAAATTTGCACCAAAAATAATATTTGTTGGAAGATAAAACGTGTCGTTTGGATGTTTGAGATTGATTTATCTATGGAGCAGGGGCGGAGCTAGCAAGAGGGAAGGAGGTTTAACTGAATCCACTTTCATGTAAAATTGTATTGTGCGAATAGATAAAAATAATATTTTAGGATTAAATATAAACTGTTGAATCCCCTTATATGGGGGAAAATACCCGTGTAGTGGTAATAAGAGGTTCAAAAGTTATTCACAAGTTCGAATCCTAACAGTGATATTCTAACATTTTTTGGTAACCCTGCATATAAATACCTGCTCCACCACTGACTATGGAGAGTTGTTAGTAAGCAACATTAAGCAGCGCCATCTTAATGTAAATGTTAGTGTTTAATTTTGTAATCAATTTCATTCTTAGACTCTGCAATTGGAATTTATATCGCTGAAATGCAATTGAAACTTAAAAAAGAATAAAAAATTAAGGGAATAAAATAGGTAAAACTATTAGGATACATCAAAGCTATTTGCCCAATGGGAACAACAGGTAGCAACAATTTAGAACTTTAGCAATACAAATTCAGATTGTAGATACTAGACGCTGGGGCAGAGAAGTCTGCGGTTGCGGGTTTGGCCGAACCCATTAGCTTTGGTTCAAATACTATATTTGTCTTAAGAAATCCATTAAATATATATAAATTATTAATTTAGATCTCAGTAGCTTAAACTGATTGAAAAACCGAACCCATAAATTCCAAATACTAGCTCCATCTCTGGCTAGACAATACTAGAAGTATTGATGTTGCCTTGCGGGCTTTTGTCTGGTGGTAAGGAGCAGAGAACATAGTGTGTGGATTAGGTGCAAGTCAGGAGTTCAGACCCTACTGTATTGGGTGATACCCTTTTTGCTTGAGCCCGACCGGGTTGGGTCCGGTCCGGGGCAAGTCGGGGCCATTGAACCCGACCTGGATGCAAGGTAGAACGACGGCCACGTCAACAACCGAGGTCGAGTCATTTCAAGACCGTTGCAGAGCTCGATATGAGTCACCACCGGATGGAGAAACACACAAGGTAAGAAGCCGGACTCGTAACGGATAACCAAGCGTCGCCGGATATCTCGCCCAAACGTGATTTTCTCAACCACTTCAGGCCATTAAGGCGTAATTACAGGGATCCACGATGTAATTAATTTACCTACCTTATTTTTACCCTTAATCAGAATGTATAAAAGGGGAGAAGACCCCATAAAGAGGGGATCGGAAACCATTACACTACGGTACCATCTCTCTCAATTCTTGTACGCTATCAAGCACAATTGTTCTAAGCAATATTATATTCTGCGATTATTTACTTCAGCAGCAATTGTTGAGTCTTTATCTTTTATTTTCCTCAATCCAAACCTTTTGTATCTTTTAGTTCACGGATCCTTAAAACCCCATATAAATTCAATTGTTATCCGGATTCCAGGGTAAACAGTTTGGCGCCCACCTTGGGGCTAAGGATATTAGTGAGCTCTTTGATACTCTTTCTTGACGCATCACAGTACACTGGTTCTTTGCAAAAGAGTCCATCTTACATTCAAATTACCAACTCATAGAATGGCACAATCAATCAACAACGAACTTGAACAGCAGACAGGAAACAATGGAATGCCCGGGCTCGAAAACCCGATAGATGCCGATTCCCGGATGGCGCTCAACACTGATCAGGCCTCCGGATCATCACATAGCGTCCGGGGAGAGGACGATTCGAGGGCCCAGGCAGTCGGCGAAGAGACTATCAACCTTAAAATGATTTTTGACATGCTGCAAGCCCAGCAATCGGCTATAGCTCAGCTCCAGAGCCGGGTCCAGGAGCCTGTCAGGTCCGAGGAGGCTCCCCGTGCAGCTGTAATCATCAATCCGACCCCAGTACAGCCGGAACGGGGTGGGCCGGATGCTGATTCTGCGGTTCTTAGGAGGCTAGAAGAATTGACCGAACGAATCGAAAAGGGGGAGGAAAAGATCGAGGCCAACGATAAAAAAGTAGAAACATACAACTCCAGGGTCGACCAAATACCAGGTGCACCTCCGGTCCTGAAAGGCCTTGACGCTAAAAAGTTTGTACAAAAACCGTTCCCATCCAGTGCCGCCCCAAAACCTATCCCTAAGAAATTTAGAATGCCCGATATCCCGAAGTATAATGGGACCTCGGACCCAAACGAGCATGTGACAGCATACACATGCGCGATTAAGGGAAACGACCTCGAAGATGATGAAATCGAGTCAGTTTTGTTGAAAAAGTTTGGAGAAACCTTGTCCAAGGGGGCAATGACGTGGTATCATAACTTACCGCCAAATTCCATCGATTCGTTCGCCATGTTAGCCGATGCCTTCGTGAAAGCTCACGCCGGGGCGATCAGGGTAGAAACAAGGAAATCC